GGGTTTGCGGGGCCCGGGGGGGTTTGCGGGGCCCCCGGCCGCTCACGGGCGGTTCCTCTCCCGCAGTGACCGTGGTCAGCGGGCTCATCATGGCGCTGCTGTTCGTCTCGGAGCTGCAGTTCTACCTGACCAAGGAGGTGGGTGCGGGGGGGGTGGGACCGGCTTCTGCCCCACCCGGGGCTGGTTCTGCCCCCCCCACCCGGGGCTCCTTCTCCTCCCCACCCGGAGGTCTCGGTTCCCCCCTCGGTCTCGGTTTGTGACCCCCCAAAGCCCCCGGGCTTGGCTCCCCCCCAGCTGCAAGCAGGAGCCCGGGTCCCCACCCCGAGTTCTAAGATTCTCCCCAGTGATGAAGGTTTTTCAAAGCGTTATGGGTGGCGGGTTGGGCTGCCCGGGAAGGTGTGTGAGGCCCCGGTGTCTGGCAGGTCCTGCCCCTCAAACCCAGCTCGGAGCCAGAGGGAAAGGGGCCCCTTGATCAGGTGCCAAGGAAACAGGACTCTTTGTTTTCCCTTTGTTCCCAGGTTCATCCCGAGTTGTACGTTGACAAGTCCAGGGGAGATAAACTGAAGATCAATCTAGATGTGATTTTTCCACACATGCCCTGTGCTTGTGAGTCAGACTTGTGAACATGGGGGGGTGACTTTTACACTGTGCCCAGGGCCCAGCCAGGCTCAGTGTGCCTCGTGCTGCTGCTTGGGCCGTGCCAGGAGGAGCCAGCACTTCCAGTCAGGCAGGATTATTTTTCTGGATGTGAAGTATAAACCCACCTCCATTTCTCTGTGGTGTTGTACTGTTGTCAGAGAGCTCAGTGGTACTGAAAAAGCTGTCACAGAGTTCACCAGGAGCTCAGGATTTGGCTGTATTGTTGTTGGGAACCTCTGGAGTCTCCTCTGGAGGATGCTTGACGAGGAACAACTTTGCCATGGTTTTTATACTGTAACACCAGTGCCCTGTGTTAACCTTTGTCTAAAATCTTTTACATCAGAGTCAGCCTTAATAATCTGATTGGCTTTTAACTTGATCCTGAGCAAAACTGGAAGTGATGGAAAATTTTGCAGGTTTTGCTGGGTTTTGCCTGCCCCTCGTTTTGTGTAGCACTTCCTGAGGTTGCTGTTGGTCTTTGCCTTCCTCACTCATAAAAGGGCATGGGAATGCCCGAGAGTCTGGAAGTCTGCTGTCAGGAGCAGAGGAGCTCTCAGTTGTACAGGAGAGCAAGTGGCCACCAGGTGCCTCATGGTGCTTTGGTGCTGGGCCAAGAGCACAGGCCTCCAGGACCTTCTGTGTGAAAAGCTGCTGATGTGGGAATGGGGAGGGGGCAGAGGGAGTAGGCAGCTTATATCCAATTTTAAGCTCAACCTCCTGAGCTCCTGAAAATGGCTGTGGGCTTTGAGGGGTTTGGTTTTGGTCTTTTGCCTCAAGTGTAGGCAGCTTTCAGGGTTACAACTTCCGTAGCAGCTGGAAACTCCTTCGTGTGCACCAGACCCAGCCCTGGAGCTGCAACCTTCGTTTTATTCCCTATGTGCTACTTGGCCCCAACCACACACACACTTCTGGTTCGGCACATCTGTATCCCCCTTCCTGAAACACTCCGTGTTTTCACTGGCTGAATTCTTCTTCAGCCTTGCCAGAACAGATTGGCATCTACAGACCACTTTTCTTCCTGGTGGGTTTCAGATTTGAGCATCGATGCCATGGATGTGGCAGGAGAGCAGCAGCTGGATGTGGAGCACAACCTGTTCAAGCAACGTTTGGATAAAGCTGGCAATCGTGTGACTCCAGAGGCTGAGAGACATGGTGAGATGCTGTTCTGCCTTTCTTGGATGGATGCTCTCCTAGTCTTCCCATCATTCCACACCTGTTCTGAGATTCGCAGGCACAAGGGACAGCCCAAGAGCATTTAAGCCCCACAAACTCTTGAAGAGTTCGTGGCACCCAAACCTGTGAAACTGGCAGATCAGACACACTCCTGTTATCCTCACTGCTTTAATGAGGAAAATCTTTTGACCCTCTGAAATGACAGAATCTTTGCCTTGTCCCTCAACAAGGCAGTGGTCTTCTATGACTAGAAATCAAGCAGCTGTTGTGGCAAAACTCAGCTCTGGTTGTGTCTTTAAGCCACAGTGGGCTGACAAATGGGATGACCTTGTTAGAGTACAGAGCCTCTCCCCAGGGAAGGCTCCAGTGACTTGACCCTTAAGCCTCAACTTGCACCCTTCCTGCCTTTGCTTTGTGTGTGTTAATGCCAGCAGGATCAATATGATCTTTCATTGGTTACAAGTTGTAGTAAGTGGTCCTTGGCTACATAAATCTTCTCCTTATGTTATTTGCATATTACCACTCATCCTCCTACTTAGATACAAACCAGAAACTGTGCTGGTCAAGTGTTGCAGTAACACTGTCCTGACTGTTCCTCTCTAAAGGATCAGTGTAGTTCTGTCCATCAGCATGAACTGAAGTTGTTGTTTCACTCGGATTTAACTTCTCTGTTCTTCAAGATGAAAGGCTGAGCTAAGCCAAGAGCTCAACAGTTGGTAGGTCCAAGAGTTTCTTCCACTGTCATGGGAATGTGGTGGTGGTGTTCCTGCTGCTGTGGCACCTGGCAGCCTTCCTGTATTCACAGCTCATGACGTTACCAATTAAATGTCTTGGGGCAAAAACTGTTTCAAATGTTATGTAGCAGGTCCTGCATCAGTCGCAGTGTCCTGATTGTGTCTACTTTAGATAAAGCCTTTATGCAGGTACTGTCTGGTCAGTGCTCCAGCAAGGCTTACAGATAGCCAGTTCTTTCTGTGGAGGCTGTTCTGGAGATGACAACATGTTCCTTCTTGGTCTTGCTCCACCCCTCAGCAGGCTCCATGTGTTCACGTCAGGTGGGCTTTGGGTGCAGGACATGCAGCTTCTGACTCAAAATCATTGTGCTCAGGTGTAGAACAGTTATTGCTCAGGAACAGCGAGAGTAGGAGGCCATTTCTAGATGCCTCATCATTTTTAATCCTGTTCTATCCTAGAGCTGGGAAAAGAAGAAGAAAAAGTGTTTGATCCAAACTCCTTGGATGCTGATCGCTGTGAGAGCTGCTACGGGGCAGAGTCAGAGGACATCAGGTAACCTTTGCACCTCCTCATCTCCTCTCAGCACTTGGATTCACACTCTTATGTTGCATCCACCTTTTTGTCTTTTTTTTCCAAATGCCTCTGAGCAAAGAAGCCCTCCTAGGCTCGTGTTCAGAGAGTGATGAGAATTGCTGAGGTTTTGATATGCCTTTGGAAGCTGCACTTAGGATTATTAAGAACCTGCAGGGTTGGGTTGTCTGGTTTGTCCACGCGCCTCTTTAAGGGCAGTGCAGACTGCACCACCTTTGCAGTAGCACAAAGATTGTATCTCAGCAAAAAGAATCTTTTCTGGGGTTATTTGGTGTCCAGGGGAGGGCTGTGTGGATGATTGCACTGTAAGGAGAGCTGTTGTGGAATGAAACCTGGCTCTGGCCTTGCCTCCTCAGCTCTGCTGCAGGCTTTGCAGGGACCAGGCATCCATTGCTCATACAAACAATGGGTGGCATTTTTGGTGTTTCCCATTCCTCCTGCCTACCAGTTCCTGTAAGAATGGATCCCTGGTAGTCCATGGGTTCTGGACTGTCCTTCGCTGCTGCTGTCTGTGTAGTGACTTGGTTTGTCTCATCTGTCAAGTTGGGTCCTTCCCCAGAGATGTTTCAGTGGTTCATGACTCCAGCCTTCAACTTCTTCTTTGCTCCAGCAAAACATGGAACTAAGAAATTAGGTTTTTTTCTGGTGACCAAGATGTTATCCAGAGGTGGTAAAGTAGTAACAGAAGTTTGCCATTAACCCTTCTCCCTCCAGTGTTGACAGTCTTGCCCTAAAAGCAGAGGGAAGAAGGAACAGACACGAGCAGGTGCTTTGTTCATGCAGGGAAGTTCCAAACTACCCCAAGCTGTGGGACAGTGATGGCATCTCTGTAGGAAGTCTCTTTGCCAAGGAGCAACTTGGCTGTTGACATGGACAGGCCAAACCCTCTCCAGGCTCCAGCACTGCAGTCAGACAGCTTGCATCCCCATGCCAACATCTCAGAAAGTGCATCAAGAAGCTTGAGCTCCTCCAGGAGCGTTAGGCCACCTCTCAAGGTCCAGTCCCTGATATTTGCTTTATCGCTTTGTCAAAGGAGAGCCCACCAGGGATTAGAGTCCTGAGCAGGAGCATCTCTTTCCAGTGATAAAGATGGTCAGACGGTGCTTGTGCTTTTGCAGGTGCTGCAACACTTGTGATGATGTGAGAGAAGCCTACAGGCGGCGAGGCTGGGCCTTCAAGAACCCAGATACCATAGAGCAGTGCAAGAGAGAGGGCTTCAGCCAGAAAATGCAGGAGCAGAAGAACGAGGGCTGCCAAGTCTATGGTTTCCTAGAGGTCAACAAGGTGAGAGGTGGGTTTTGCTGTGAACCTGCTGCATGATGGCCATGGCTGTGAGAAGCAAAGTCAGGGTGTTTGTCTCCTTTTCCAGTTTTAGGTGTTCACAGGATTAATGTAGCAACTCCTGGGCTCAGCAAGGTGCTTGTGCCCTTGGAGGGCTTCAGGAGGGGAGCCAGGAAGTGCAGTGGGAAAGGGGCCAG